TCCCAAGCTGCGACTGAGTCCGGGACACTTTGTGGAACAAGGAAAAAAGCATGGCGGCTTCTTCCAGACACCGTTGATCAGGTTGACGGACGATATAGAGAGTCTAGGCCTCAAGAATGATGCCGAGCGGGAAGCATTCATTAAGTAGGTTTTCCCTCATGTTCCCTGTGCTGACAAGGGTATTGTAAAGCTTCAAGTACTGATTGCCTTAGTGAGCTTGATGGACTTACCGAGGACTTCCCTGAAGAATTCTTCAAAATGAAGGTGCTCCCAGAGCTACTAAAATCTGTTGAGTTCGGTGGAGGCGGTCCCAAGGTTGTAGGGGCCATTATCAAAATCGGGTCCAAGTTATCATCAGAGGAATTCAATTCAAGACTGACGCCTGTTATTGTGCGCCTCTTTGCTAATCCTGATCGAGCACTACGGGTTTGTCTGTTGGACAATTTACCATTAATGATCGACAATCTTCCACAAAAGATTGTGAACGACAAGATCTTCCCGCAGATGGTTCGTCGTGCTATTGGATCCTCGTTTTCTTCCGTTGCTGACAATTGCTTTCATCCAGACTTCTGGGTTCACTGACGTTGCACCCGTTGTTCGAGAACAAACCGTCAAAGCCGTACTGGCGGTCATTGACAAATTGAGCGATCGGACTATTAATGGAGACCTATTGAAATTCCTGGCTCGGACTGCAAATGACGAGCAGCCAGGGATTCGTACGAACACCACTATCTGCTTAGGAAAGATCGCAAAAAACTTAGGACAAAGCGTCGGTCGCACCACGCCACCAAAACAAGCCAATGCTAACCTCGAGTATAGTCCAGATCCAAGGTCCTTGTTGCTGCGTTTACAAGATCGCTGCGGGATCCGTTTGTACATGCCCGGAATGCGGGCTTGTTGTCGTTGGCTGCCACGATGGAATTCTTTACCGAGGAGGATTGCGCCACCAAAGTTCTTCCCGCCATATGCCCATCTCTCCTTGACAAGGAAAAGTAAGAAGTTCTTTATCTCACCGCTATCTCTATGTTTCTAACGTGCAACTAGGATGATCCGGGATCAGGCGAACAAAACGCTCGACGTTTATCTTCAACGGATACGTAAATTCAGCAGCACTATGCCGGAAACTGTGCTGCCTCCTTCCACCAGTTCAGACACTCCCAAGGACGATGCTCGTATTGGAACGTCCAATGACAAGTCCTGGGCAGGCTGGGCAATCTCCTCGTTTACAAACAAGCTTACCGCGGCGAATGGTGTGATTGAGCCATCTGCAAATGGCGCTAAGCCGGTCGAAGCCGAGCCAGCCCGGTCCGCATCCGTGCCACGTCCGTCGAAACCGTCACCCTCGGCGCAGCTTGATTTGCCAAAGGTGACTCCACGTCCTGCAGCACAGCCCCTAGGCCACCGGTCAATGTCAGAGCAGGTCATTCCGGTCACCAATGAAGTCGACGAACCAGATGACGTGTACGAAGCGTGGGGTGCCATGGACGATGAAGACGGAGAAAAGGCAGATGATCCATTCAGCCCTGCCGCAACCACGGTTTCCTCCACCGTGTCTGCACCGGCGTCCAAACCTGCCCCTGTGCCCTACGATGATGGAGGCGAGCCGGACTTCGCCGGTTGGCTTGCGGCACAATCCAAGGCAAAGAAAACTCTACCCAAGGGCTTGAGCAAGACTACTTCCACAGGAACCTCGGCTCGAAGTGCCAGTCGTAATAGCACGACTAAGTCTAAGACGGTGGCTCCAGTCAAAAAGATCGAAACCAAACCCAAAGAGGAGGACCTGGACGATTGGGGAGATGCTTGGGATTGAGTTCATTTTCTTTTTGTTTTGTTTTTCTTCTCTAGAACTCAAAGTATGGAGTTTCGGTAAAACCGCTACGGGCGTTTAGGATTTAGATACCATGCACATATAATTGACTGATGAATTAAGATTAATATTTGCATCGAATCCATGGAATGTTCGATCAGTCAGCCTTATCGATTGCCGTCAAGCCAATCATATGCCGGCCCGCCGGCCCCGTGATCGCAGGTGACCATCCGCCGCCTTACGAGAAGCTTCACTTTATCTTATTGTTGTCCTGCCTGGACTGTCACCTTTCCCGGTGTTGATACATTCTTGTGGAGTGACTTTTGACCTTGGCTATCCTACTAAAACTCATCCCCGTCATTCCTGTCGGATCGACTCGTATTTGAAATACCGATTGTCCCACTTGAAGCGCTAGATAATCTTGCTGCCTGCCTTCCCAGCGTCAGCGGCTGTGTCTGGTTTCTAGAAGGCTGCAGGTTATCTAATCGTTAATGCGCGATGGATCACCGTTGACGAGCCTAAAGGTCACTTGAGTTCATTGAAATCAACCCCGACACCCAGCCATTTTCCCCAGATATCCGTGATGGACCATGAAGAGGAGGCTCCTCCGCCGTATTCCGCCGTCGATCCGCTCACTCGAAATGCCATTGCATCGGCCGAAGTAAATCGGGTCATACTCCGTCTCCGAGGGGGAGATGTCTCATTTGGTGATACTGCATCAAGCGATAGCTCCAGTTCCGTTGTACTCGCCTCCTCTCCGCTTACGCCCGCCAACTTCACCTCCGCTGCCGCTTACTTTGTTGAACGCCCAGTCCCTACCGTTGACAATGGACGGCCGGTCCTCGAGCACCACCTAACCATCTACCCCCGGAGTCAATCTAAGGACTTCCCTCGTCGCCCTCGTTGCTGGGGTTCACGCACTGAGCACATCATCCAGCAGGACTGGGACATGTTCTTGCGATATTTGTTTCCTCCACATCTCGGCCTCGCCTCCTCCTCCGATCAATTACCTCGTCAGGTTAGGGCCCAGATCCAACGAGATCGCAAAGATCGCCCACAAGAGACAGATGAGCAGCGCCGGAAGCGAATATCAGCCGTTATCACAGAATGGAACCAATACTTCTTCGAACCCCGCGCAACGTGCATCACATTTTCCTACGTCACCGACCCACAAAATGCACCGGCATCTCCTCTTTGTCCTAGATGCTATCCTGCTGCCACGCGGGTCTCGCAGGAGAATCGCACAGCGGTGACGGTGCGGCCTACTCCATCATTAACTCCGAGACAACCCATGTCGCCTCTGTCGCCTCCAGCAAGTAATCACCACTCTCCTGCACCTCATGCATACCCGAATCCACAATATCCACAACTGCCTCCTACTCCACATACACCCTACGGTGTTCCTCAATACTACCATCCTCCACTTCCTCACCATCCTACATACCCTTATACCCCCCAGCCACATATTCCCTATCAACACAACGCCTCGTGGAACTGGAATGCTACAGCCTGGCCCCCTCCACAACAAAACTCGAGTTCTAAAAGTGGACCACTGGGTTGGATATCTTCGCTAGCTTCCCAGGCCCAGAAGTACGGCGAACGCATCTCGGAGCACGCTGCGCAGTATGGGGATCAGATCAGTGCTCAAGCCTCCCATTATGGCCGACAGGTAGAAGAGCACGCCATGGCGCATGGTCGGTGGATAGAAGAACAGGCCAGTCTCCAAGGACGAAAGGTGGAAGATGCCTTCACCGGTCTGGTCCACCGACCCCGCAACGAATGGCCTGCGACTGACGCTCGCGGCCAAGTTTACTATCCAAACGCGTATAACTATCCCTATACACCGGTCGCCAACGCCGTCAAGCCTGTCGAGCCTGTCAAACCTGTCGAGCCCGCTACCACGCTACCTGTCCAACGTATCCGTAGATTATCCACCGGGTCAGCCTCCTCCGACTCGTCGTTGGAATCAATTGACTCGTTATCCACAACGTCGGAACTGAGCACCTCCGATCTGGCTACGGTTCGGGCGCAGCTCTTATCGCTCGAAGACCACCATGACCGTGATTTGCATGAAGCAGCGGTAGGGCTGCGACGGCAGCTCACCGTTTTGCAAGAGTCTCGCCGTCGGGACCGGCTCGCCGGACGCAATTGGCGGCAGGGGTGGGGCCAGTATCCACAGCAGCATGGCTACGGACGTGGCTGGGGAGGACGATGGGAATCGCCCCAGCAACATGAACGAAGTGCGGCTGAGAAACGAGCCCTGAAAGAGGAGACGCGGGCCACGCGGAAGGCCTTCCGGGACGTCCTGCGGCGAGCGAGGGAGGAGCATAAGGAGCAGCGACGGACCAAGCGCAATCGACGCCGTCTGGAACGGTCTCGCCAGATAGAAACCGTTCCGCCGGAGCCAAGTCTCGAGCAACAGGTGCAGAATCTGGACCTCGACTATAACCGGGAGAGTCAGTCGACGGTCCAATCTTTTACATCCATTCCTTCTCCGGCACGGTCTGTTGCCGAGATCAGCGTGATCAGCTCGATCAGTACCACTAGCACTGTATCTTCGCATCACCTTGAGGGAAATGAGCCCCAGAATAGTGGTAAAGAAACCCAAAAGGAGGCTGATAAGGCCAAGCAAAGCCCGAAGGAGACGGAAAAGATCAAGCGCAAGGAGGTACCGGGCCTAGAAAAGAAAGACAAAAAGTCTGATTAACTCCAAGCTTCTGAACATTTGAGTTATTGAGCAATTGCATGGCATGGAATTTGTGATTGGTTATTGGGAGGGGATATATGGTACATGAGGAACGGTGTTTAATTGGGAGCAACTGCATTTTTTTGTATGTGTTCATGGGTAATAGTGCCAATGGCATGTCGAGTCTTTCCATCCCTTGTGGTCTACATGTTTTCGAAGTTTTTGTTTGACCGTAGTTAGCATGATACTGGCGCTTAATGAGACATGAACTTGCATCTCACACACACACACACACACACACACCACTCTGCATTGCAAGCAGTGTACATATACATCTTCTCATTTCCACGCATGCAAGTAGAAGAACCACCAGACAATCAACATCCAGCAGGGGGTGAGGGAAAAACACCTCCCCGATCTATACCACACCCTAGCATGAATAATAATATCACGGGCGAAGGAAAGAAAGAATAGTAATAGAAGAGAAGAATGCACCCCCCCCTCCCACTAAGCCTGAGTCTGCGACTCATTCTTCTCCACCAAATCTCCCACACCCAATCCACGTCCGACCCGTACCTTCACCATCTTCTCCTTCTCCTTCTCCGTCCCCAATTCGCCAACCTCCTCACCCTCATCGGCATCTTTACCTTCCTTCTCCGCCCGCAGACGATCCTTCCGCTCGATCTCCGCCCAGTCCATCCACATATTCGTCAGATCCATACGCATCGCATACGCATCCTCCCCATCGGCATAGTACTTGCTCTCGACAGTCTCAACCTGGAATCCCAGTGTATCGCGGTATAACCGCAGCGCAGCGGTGTTGCTGACACGCACATGAAGCGAGACGTAATGGGCGCGGTGTGATTCCGCCATAGCACGTTCTAAACCAGAAAAAAAAAAAAAAGTTAACTCTCATTATCCCAAATATCCCATCAACCTGTCTCCCCCCAAAACCCAAACCCGAGAAACAAAAGAACCTAGAAGGGGGGCAAGAAAGCAAGAAAGGAAAAGAAAGAAGGGAAAGGGAAAGGGAAGAACATACGAGACATCCTCATCAATCTTTCTGCAATACCCAACCGTCTATGCGTCCTCATCACACTCAACGAAGTAATATGTCCATGCGCGACTCCGTCCGTCGGCTCCTCTTCCATCTTGGCCAGCACGTACCCCACTACCTTCGGATACTGCTCGCTGGCGGTTGCGGCCCCGCCCGGGGCTGTGTGTTTGGAGTACCCATTCTTGGGGCGGACGATGGCGACGAAACTCAGTTGCGGCCAGGTGAGCGCGTGGTAGAGGTAGTATTTTAGAAAGTAGTTTTCGGGGAGGTTGGTGATGTTGCAGGTTTGGATGGAGGGGAGGAGGTCGATGTAGCTTGGGTAGCTGGAGAGGGGGACTATGTCGACCATTGTTCCTGTATTCCTTGTAATTTTTGGGTTTCGTTGAGTTTAAGGGGAGTTAATTGAGGTGGTGAGGGGTGAGGGGAGTTTTGTTTTAAGAGGGGAATCGGTTGGATTGAGTATATGTTTTTGATGTTGGTATGAGTAAATCGTCTCCGCGGGCGGTGGAGGTTGCGGATAAATCAGGTGGCGCGCTAACCCGGTTCGGATGTTGCCCTATCTTTATGCATTGGTACGGAGTATATGAGCTTTTCCTCTCACTCTTAGGGTACTGTGAAATATGAGGTGGTGTTGTTTGTGATATGGAGTTCTTGGATTGAAAGTTTTATATTGTTCTTTCCGATAAGCGCTACTGCAGGTCGTTTCTCGTTAAATATGTAATAAACAGGGCTGTCGTATCTCGTAACTCCCAGCCAAATCTTCTATACAAACTATAAATATATATATCAAGTGATTCAAAACAGAGAGACGAGGAATTGGATGCCACCGATCATGAGAGTGGTGGCCATGACGCTCTGGGGTGTCAAGCTCATGCCTGCGCTGGCCACGCCGCAGCACTTTCCGTTGTACGTCACATTGTTCATCTGCGCCGCAACCTCAAAGACCGTGCCGTTGACTGGACCGTAGTTGTAGTAGTCAACCAGGAGAAAGTTCGGGGGACGATTCCAGATTTCTATGAGCTGTTAGACCTTTCCCGATCGACACGAAAAAAAAAAAAAACTTACTGGTACAATTGCTTGCCATCAGGCCGAGACTGCCATATCCGGTCACGTTGTTCGTCTCGTTCAAGAGCGCCGTGTTCGGGATGAGCAGGTTGAGATTCAGCACATCCATCTGGAGGTTGAGGTTGTGGTTAGCCATATACAACCGGTTCTGAGCGTCCGGCGCTGCCAGATCGGGGGGACGCTGGACGTCGCAAGGAAAGTCCCGGTCCGTGGGTGAGAAGGGCGTCTCCCACATCTGGGAAAATTCGTCCATGAGCCATGGGTACGCCGTCTGGTTGGCCTGATAGTCCAGGAACATGACCGCACGCTTGCCGGACATGATCATGCTGGACAGCGTCGGCCAGTCGTCCAAGGCCATGGGAATCTTCGTGGGGGTATACACCAAATCCATCAGACCGGAGCTCTGGATAGGCCCCGTGAAATTGCCGGGATCGACGTAGTCCGAGTTGCCCATCAAAATGGTGACGACGTCGTACGGATGGGCTTTCATCCACTTGGTCACTGTGGTCAGATAGGCCTCGAGGGTCCCGACATTGAGCAGCTCGCAGCTGCTGTGGCACAAGTACATGGTGTTATTGACCAGATGGGTCTGAAATTGTACTATTTGAGCATCAGTCACCTCCCTCCTAGCGTCTCTCTCTCTCTCTCTCTCTCTAGGAAGATCCACTTACACATTCGAATTCCATCGTTCAATTGGTCCTCGACGTCCAAAGCCTGATTGGCGGCGACACTGCCCGGCTTCACAAAGGGACTGTTGTGAGCAGCCACCACAGTGACGTTGGAATAGTTCCGTGCACAGAATTCGGGGTAGCCGTTGCAGGGCTGGGTATTGACCACCGGGGATGACGAAGCCGAGGCCGAGGCCGTCATGGTGGCATTGGCGGTGCCGTTGAGGGTCTGGGTGCCGCCCAGCACCGTGACAGAATTGGAGGTAGAGGTAGAGGTATTCGTATTGGTGCTATTCGACGCCGTCGTCACTGTTGCGTCGGAGCCGGTGAGGGTGTGAGAGCCGACGACGGTGGCATGGCCGGAGCCTAGGGTGACGGTCGAGGTAATGGATTGATAGGTGCCGGTCGGGGTTGCGGCATCACTGACTTTAGCGGTGATGGTTCCTTCCAGCGTGAACATGCCCTTCCCCGTGCCAGTGGACGTGTCGGTCGAACTCGAGGAATCATCTGCAGCCCAGGTGGGTAGAATGCCGCCTGCCGCCAACAGCGGTAGTAACCGGATCATCACCCGCATGATGCCGGTTTGGAGAAAGATCTGGTTATGTACCTGTATGTATATATGTATATATGTATATATATATATATATATATAAAGAAAGAACAGGATAGGAGATACAATACCAAAGAAGGTATGGAGTATAAGGAAAAGGAGAAAGTAAAAAGGGTGGAATGACGGAAGAAAAAGGAAAGGTTGATGCGGAGGTTAGCAACCTGAGGCAAAGACCCTTAACGACGGTATTGTGTATTGTCTGTAATGAATTGAATACTGCTGTTTAGGTACCAGGGACTGCAAGCCACCCAGAATTTTGAGTACCGGTAGGGCGATCGTAAGCCGATCAGCGGCTGCATGAGAAATAAGAGAACTTGGACGTCTTGGCTCGTCTAGACTAATAGGAATGGATTCTCGGTCCAGGCAGCTGGGAAAAAAATGTCAAAAAGATAAATTAAGAACTCCACAGTGGAGCAGCACGCTACGATGACGTTGCGGCGGTGCAGGTGGCCCAATTAAACCCAGGGGTTGGCATCAGAAACACAACAACTCATTCTCTCTAAATATGGATAATAGATGAGGTTATTCTTGTTCAAGTGAAACACGTAATATCCGTTCACTTGCAACTACGCCTCTGCTGTTTCAAACTTTTTTTTTTCTGTTATGGTTATCCGGTTCTATTGTATTATTGTATTCAATTCTCTTTTCCTGTGTTTTGTTTTGTTTGATTGGAATTTCTTCGGTATTTTCATCTTAGCTCAAAGTCAAATTTCTCCGTCATGAAATCCTGCAGGCAAGAGTCCAATACATATGGGTATTTTTGTAGGAACAAATTGAAACCACTGTTTCGATCAGCAGCGCTATTAAAGGATCAACCGCTTATCAGGATTTCGCATCGAGGAGACGATGACTGGGAAAGGGAAAAGAATGACAGAATGGACTATCGCCAAGAGGACGATCGGTACCCCTTAAGCCAGCGGATCGGGGATTCTGGACCCCCAGCACTTACGACCGCATTACGCCGCCGCTGATCTTGCGAAGATTTTCCCTGGACACCCAACTTTATACGGTCGCCTTCACCTTAAGGTTCACTTGAAAGTGAAATTACCGTTCGATCTTCGTCGGTCCTTTCTCCATTTCTCGTATTTCGGTTTTATTCATCTCCTCCTCCTCCTTCCTGCCTGCTTGGTTTTCCCTCCAGCCCTACCTTTTCTGTTTGTATAACACACCCACACTCACACCCACCGTGTATATTGTACTCTTTGTATAGACTGTTCGAAGTGATTTCTGGTCTTTTTACACTGTTGTCCTTGACGGTCTATGTCATCCGTCGACACAGTTACAGTCACTGACCTTCAATTTTCTCCTTCAACAATTGAAATCTATCAATCCATCATTCACGCTCTTTTAATATAAAAATCTCCTACCAGCCCTACAACTCGTCCGCCACACGTGCTTAGTTCCATGGCCAACCTCCCATTCTTCCGAAAAGCTCCTCAACGGCCGGAGTACGGCCGGAGTCGTTCGAAAGTCCTCTGGCACCGTCTCCTGCGCTCGTTTCTCTACCTCATCGCATGGATCTTCCTAGTCCTAGTCGTCATTGGCAATGTATCCAACAAACCCGTCCTCCGCGACACGTGGTTCCTCAAGATTGATCTCTCCAATATCATCCCACTCTCCGTTCCCAATGCCGTCCTGATCAACAGTATTGCCCGCTCCATCGGTCTACATGATTTCTATACCGTCGGTCTGTGGAATTTCTGTGAGGGGTACAATGATAGCGGCATCACTAAATGTTCCAAACCGGAGACCCTCTACTGGTTCAATCCGGTTGAGATCATTATGTCCGAACTGCTCTCCGGAGCTACCAGTATGTTTTCCCCCGTCACTTCCAGGCACGACCGATCAAAACTAACAAAATCCAGTTGCCCTCCCCGGAGATATCACCGATGCTCTCAAGATCGCTCGGATCGCCTCCCATTGGATGTTCGCCCTCTTCATCCTGTCCGCCGTCTTGACCTTCGTCATGATCTTCCTCTCTCCGCTCGCTACGTCCTCGCGACCCCCGCAGTCCATTTCACCGGACCCCACCGTCAACGCCGCTCACCCGGCCCACCGTCGCCGCACGTTTATCTTCCTGCGCGCCTTTCCGTTCTTCATTCTGACCTTCCTCACGGCCCTTTTCACCATTGTCGCCTCCGTCGTCGCAACCGTCATGTTTATTATCTTCAAGAACGTCTTCACCTCGGCGGATTATAACCTGAATATTGAGGCGGAACTGGGCACCCGCATGATGGCCTTCATGTGGATTGCGAGCGGCTGCAACCTGCTGTCGTTCATTCTGCAGTTAGGCTCCTGCTGTGCGGCTTGCTGCGGTGGTCGGAAGGCCCGGAAGGCGCTGAAGAACGGCGGTGCGAATGGATCGCCGATGCGCGAGAAGGATGGTCCTCATAGTCCCTCGACAACGGGAGCTACTGAGTGAGCTTGATTTCCGTCTCTCCCAACCAGCTCCCGGCCAAGGAGGAGCCTGTTGGGGTCTGTTGTTGCTTTTGGGTTGGATATTATTGGTCAACCAGAACATACATATATAGTTAAGTGCCGCATATATAAGCGGGGCATATATATCTCCACCGTTGTTGTTTTTTTTTTTTTTTTAGAACTGTTACATAGACAGGGGTCTCCATACGGGATATTGCTTTACCACCGCTTGGCTCAGCATTGGAGGTGCATTTGATTTGGTTAGTTACGATCGTTACGACTTGTCATGATATAATCCACGGGTATTTGGACTGTTCCCTTCCAGATCCAAAGATTCAAGCTTCGTGAGGGACATGCCAGGACTTAAGTATACTGGTCTCTTCTCAGTTTTCGATTTCCGGAGTGTAGTCATGACTACCGCAGCTCCGGCTTGATACCAGACGCTCGTAGTGTAGATGGAAGGTGATATATTTTACCTTGAAATAGTAATAACTCGTGACACTGCAAATCCTAGACTCAATGCTCTTTGATATGCATCTTGAGAAGAAAGGACAAGAAAAGCGTTAGTTGAAAAGATTGGAGTATAGACCAGTCAGAAGTATGTAAACTTCGGTGTCCGAGGCTAGTCTTTCAACCCTACAATGCTTTGTAGAGTTCTGTAATGATTGTTAAATTATACTCATACCACCGCCGGACTTATAATACTCCAACTGACTCTGATAATATTCTTATAGATATTATGAGTGCCACATACGATACAGTGAACTTACCATTCTACATATCAAACTAACATGTCATAACGTATTCAAAATGAATTCTCCTGACCGTTTCTTCAATCTATCTCCACGTTAGGTTACATAGTCCTCGATAACTGTGAAAGTGACTGAAAGCTGACGCTGACCACACCCTCTATCAACACTAGCTTCTTCTCTACCAGTATATATATATATATATATATATAAGTTTACACTGGATTATTCGAGAATGGGAAAAGCTTTGTTTTCTCTTGGTTACCTCTATAAAGCGGTATTAGCGCTAGGGTTACCTGCTGCTTCGGGACCGAATACGACACCAAATCGGTGATATAGAGTTTGAGGGACTATTCAAGGTGGCATGGGGTTGAAGGGGGAGGTGATTGTTTCTCAAGTGACCATGGTGATGTTGAGGTGTTGTAGGGAAAGCCAGGTTGTTAAAATAAGGTAAAACTAACCACCACAAAGAAATTGAGTTTTATGGAACATAATAAATACTAAGAGTTAACCCCACCCTCAGCCTTAATACGACTCTCACCCGAAAGTATATAACTGGTCCAGCTAAGTTTAGGGGCTGTCGGTGAGGTGTGTATCTTGAGAGTCTGCTCGATACTATCGAATACGGCGTGATTGAAGTTTCCAATTGTTACGGATTAATCGAACTGGTAACTAACCACTGGTAACTAACCACTGCCAACTTCAAGGCCGCATTCTTTTCAAGATTTCTAACTATCTACTTCGTAACATTGTTCTAGCAGGATACAAGAGCCACCTACTGAGATCTTGTAGTCCCTGTTAGTTGCTGTGGAAAAACTACGGGGTCAGAGGTACATACCAGTTGTGAGCCAGAAAAAGGGCGACCAAATTCTCAAGACCATCGACTCTGTTGCGATAGCAAATGCCAATGTGGGATATTGTCATTATAATAGCGATCTTTACAAGCGTGCTATGTGGATTTCCTGAGGAGTTATGACCCCATGGAATATACCCTTTTCTTCCATGGGAACTCTTTGTCTTCTACTTCTGTATCTATAGCATGGCTAATGAATCCCCCGGTGTTAATCAGTGGAAACTCGCACAACGGACCATTGTCCCTTGGAATACCTTTCCCCTAATATCTGGTGTTTATTGTTCACAACAGTCATATATATAAGAACGCGGCTAGAGAAAGCAAAAAGGATTGTCTATACCTAGCCGAAGAGATGTTGACAATAGCCGCATAGCCTTCCTCTCATGCTTGCCCAGCTCAGAAAGATATTCCGAGAGATGCCATCAGCCATGACCAACACCGCGGCCAGACGCAAGAAACCAGAACCACCCAGTCCAGTCATCCGGGAATACTTATGGATGAAACAAATCGGCAAGAGTCTCTCCGCCAACAGTCCTTTCCATTCAAACAAGAGAAGAAAAACGAGAGAAGGCGATAGAAACGGGTTGGAAACCAGACACCGTTTCCTCACGGCCTACAAGCGCAATAAGCTACGGGAGAAAAGTGGGATGCTTTACGGGCGTCACTCGAAGCATTCTCATGGAGATATGATGACGGATCTTGGTGGATCTCTCTACGAAGATGCCGAGTTATACAGGATGAATCGGAGACAGGATCCTGAGATATACGAGGAATTATATGGAATATCTCCTTTCATTGTGCCGAAGAGTATGTACCTATATGTAGCCCTCCATGATTAATTATTAAGTTAATCTGATGATGCATAGTGCATTCGGAAACGTGTGCGTTGCTTAATGACCATGCTACGGTTTTGGCTTCAGGAAACTATCAGTTCACTTTCCTTTTTGAACAGGGTTTCAAGGGGTTTATAGCGGCTCTGAAAATTGCTAAATTTCCCCCATATGATTACTTCCGGTCGAACCTCAATGGCGACATTGAAGATGAGCACCCAGTACTCATGAGGCTCAGAGCACGTCATGGGGCTTTTGAGGAAGCCTTGCAAAAAGACGTCAGATTCGTTGGTAGCACAAGATAAAGGTGGATCTAGCTAAGCGCTTCGATACGTTGGCTTTTAATCCGACGATTTTCATAGAGGTATTCTTTATTAAATTTATTGTTCTTTATCGCAAAGGATAAATCTACTCAGTTGGTGGAACGGACCACATAGTAATAGTCGCTCAGAGCTTTATATGGCGTCGTCAACTCAGCTACAAGTACAACGGATTGTCAAGTGACCATAGTGAAACAATGTCAGATTTTCACGTTAATTAATTATGCAGGTTTCCCTAGTCGCTATGCAAGCTTCGATTACAATGGTGAAATCTTTTAAAGGAATAAGAAGGGGTATCATAATCTTTTAAGCTTCGGCCAGTTCCGCTTCCATCGCACGAGCTAACTCGTCGTCATCATCGATGGGACCGGTCTGGGCAGCTGTATGATCCGGAGGATCACTGTGACTCCGCTCAACTACGGTACCGGTGTCTTGCGGAGGTCGTGGAGATTGCGAACTCGAGGTACGAAAATCATGCCCGGTCTGTCCGGCCTCGAGCCAGCCATATCTTTTGTTTCGTAGGGACCGGAGCATCTCCATGCGGCGTTGGTCTCCTTCTGTAGGGGGTTCCGAGGGAGCGGATTTGTTCTCCATCTCGTCCGTCAAATCAATCGTGACTGGAGTCGACCCGTGTTCTGTTGCTGAACTAGTAGATTGCTGATTCTCATGAATACCAGACGCGCCTGGTGGCATACCCTGGGGCGGAAGGGGTTGAGAGCCTTGCCTAACATGCTGCATGTCTCCTGAGGGCGCCGGAGTAACGGGGTGCGAATTCGGCGTGAGAGGTTGTCCCCGGGCTTGCGATGCACGTGGGGGTTTGTATGAATCCGGGATTGGAGCAACCGCAGGCACTTGTTTCTGGACGTGGATCTCGTAGAGAAGGTTGTTATAGATAGTGCCAAGCTCATGTAGCCTGTTTTTCCACTCTGCCGCCTCTCTCTTGTACTGCTCTACACGGTTCTGGTGTTGGCTGGAAACACGTCGAAGCATGGCATTCTCCTCGCGCAGCAGTTGTTCTCTGGTCTTGCCCGTCACAGGGTCTATAGTAGTCCACTGAAACCAGGCGTTTTTGTACTTGTTACGCTCGCAGGTGAGATGGTACACCCTATCCTTCAGGCTGGAGAGGCGATAGTTCATTCGATCCTCTGCAACTTCAATGTATCGGACGTGGATATTTGGTGCCGACGGAAGATAACCTAGTGGTCCTCCATGTTCTGGATAAGGGGACGTGTACTCTGGTTCTTGATGAATTCGTTGTAGGATTTCTCGGCTAGTATTAGACGCCAAATCTGAAGAGTCAAGAGAAAATCGGTCTTTAGTAAGGTCGCTGACAGAAGGCTCCTTTGGCATCGAATCCGCATGGAACTCAAGGGGATGTTGGTCGTTTTCAATGCTGTCTGCCGGTTCATGATTTGACGGTTCATGGCTGACTTGGTCGCCTTGTGCGAGGGGTGGCTCAAGTTCGAAATCGGGCGAGAGCTCGTTATCGGGTATCAAAGGAATATTGAAATCTGGATCCTCAAACAGGGCATCCAGAGAGTCAAATAGTGGATTGGGCGACGGTAGCCTCTCTATTCCTGGTGTATGAGGAGCGGTTCCGCCCTGTTCGGGCTGGTGAGAAGAGTTGGGAGAAGACAATGAAGGCGTTTCACCAGGAGAAGGAACATAGTGGTCTTGTTGTAACTCGACTAGTCGTCTCTTTTCTGGTGGACCCCACATATCAAGCTCCGGGAAAGCCTCATCGCCAGCTCGTTTTCGAGACGCAAAGGTCGCATCAAGCTCTCGAAGCACTGCCTCAGAATCGAAAAGCGGGTCAAACAGTGCTTGTACGGTGTCAGTCGAAGCAGCGAAACCTACAGGGTCAACATCTTGGACGGGTGATTTGGACGAGCCAATACCTCCCGCCGAAGGTTTAGTCTTTTGGTCCCCGGAAGACTGGTTGCTAGTGTATGCTCCTTGATCACCGCCGTCCGGCGAACTATGGTCCTCTTCCTGGGAGAGCACCTGAGCATCGACAGGTTTCTGTGGCTGCGACCCAGGGGGTGGTGTAAGCCCCAGATCATTCACATGCAGATGATGTATGTAAGGGGGAGATGGAAGATCTTCGAGAGCGTAAAGGCCTTGAAGATCAGGAGGGCAGGTCTGGAGAGAGGTAGAAATACCTTCAACCACGCTTCCATCCATCTTGACAGAGATAACCCAGTATAATCTAGATCAAAAAGACAAAGTGTCCACCAACTATGGCTTTCCGTCCTTCAACAAAAGCGGAGGTCTCAGACGAGACAAGAGCGATGCGTATTGTAGACAAGTTCGATGGGCGCAAGGTATGTGGCGTCGAGAATATCAACGCAGCGAAACGAGGAGAAACGCCATAGATGATGTATACAGGCTATGCAAATGAGTAAGAATAAATTCTCGGTAGTTTCCTCTGATAGCCCTTCGTTGCGCTGCAGTCCGTACCTGTTGAGACGCCACAGCACCTCTAATCGAGAATTTTCAAATTCTTCCCGTCGAATATTGAGTAGGCGCAGAAGTTTTGTAGGACGGCTCTCGCCGGAAGTCACCAGGGCTTGGAACGGTACAAATGACCCCCAGACGAATAAACGGTCGGTAACCAATATTAGTTACTTGATTGGAAGAACTAGTTGCCAAATACGACGCCTCGAGAAATTTGAACTGAACAAGGACACGACTTTTGCCGCCGCTCAAGCGAAGGTGAACGACGGGGATGGTGAGTCTTGTCAGACCACCCCTTTGACAGCCACGGAATGATCCTCGCTGACGAAGAAAACAAAGCGCAAGGCGAAACTTTTGTATCTTATCTGCGACTAAGATGGAAAACATGATTTAAACGGCCCTTTTTTTAGTCGACTTTTAATCTCCCTCGTCGCTCTCCGCCTCATCCACCGCCTTAACCACCGCTCACGTGCGCGTTGCCTAGAACGGCCAGGGATTGCGGGCAGCAAAAGACCGCCGCAGCATAAGGCCGGCAGGAATCAAATCGACTTTCTTTCCGCTGATGGGGAAGGAAACGCTCAGGGTCTCCTGATATTTAATTCTCTCCAGTTCCTCATAGGTCCCCGCACCTTCAATATGAGCGTCATTCTTTGCACCGGTAAGTACAAGCTGGATTCCAGCATTAGCTTCGAGATCTTCGGTTGGCATTTCAGGGACGCTAATTGACCGCTTCGCTATCAAAAGCCGGATATGACCACACCATTCGGTAAGTCAGGTGCTTTCTCTACGATTGCCGGTATATTCAGCGCGCTAATCCTGTATGGCAGTTTCTGGGAAGCTCTGTCTGGAATATGCTCGCGCACTATCCAGCATCCGGACTCTCAAGTAAATCGCTTATGCATCACTCCAGACAAGCGCTATCTGGCCGCTGCAGGTCACAACAATGTCAAATTGTATGATATCAAGTCCACTAATCCCAACCCAGTTATGACCTTTGATGGTCATACGAACAACATTACCGGTGTTGCATTTCACTGCGAAGGCAAGTGGATGGTCACTAGTTCGGAAGATGGCACGGTGAAAGTGTGGGACACACGCACCGGCAGTCTACAACGCAATTATGCCCATAAAGCCCCCGTCAATGACGTTGTTATTCACCCCAACCAGGGTGAACTTATCAGTGGTGATCGTGCTGGCATTGTCCGGGTTTGGGACCTGGGCGAGAGTGTCTGCACTCATCAGCTAATTCCGGAAGATGACGTTGCTGTGCAAAGTGTTAGTGTTGCAAGCGATGGATCTTTACTCTGCGCAGGAAATAAGAAGGTATCGTCCCTCTACCGTTTTCGTGTCAACCCGAGCAAGCCATCATTCACTTTGTGATCCGAAGACTAATTGACCCGCTAGGGCAACGTTTACATCTGGCGCATGGTCCAAGATGCTGAATTAACTCGCATCGTCCCAATGTGCACCTTCCAAGCTCACAAAGACTACCTCACTCGCATCCTTCTCTCACCAGACGTCAAGCACCTCGCCACCTGCTCAGCAGACCACACAGCCAAAGTCTGGAACCTTGATCTCGACTATCCCCCGGCCAAGATAGCTGCCGCGCAAGCAGCCAAGGCCAAGGCCAAAGGCATCACCCCAGAACCTAAAGAGACACCGTCATCCCCACCTCCCTCAGAAAGCCTGGTGAACACTCCAAGCAGTGAACAGGGCAGAGCCGACTTTATCAACCCATTCAGCTTTATCAACGGAACCCCGCCGCCCACCAATGAGCCCCAGCAAACCTTCCCCGTACAAGAAGATGGCCCCCCAGTAGATCCGAATACCAACACCCTTTACCTGGAGACGACCCTCGCAAATCACCAGCGATGGGTGTGGGACTGTGCCTTTTCCGCCGATTCAGCCTATCTAGTCACCGTTTCAAGTGACCACTACGCTCGTCTCTGGGAGTTGGCTTCGGGCCAGGTTATCCGTCAGTACAGTGGGCATCACCGCGGGGCGGTGTGCGTTGCTCTGAACGATTATTCTGAGCCTCGGTGAGAGGTCCTGAGGTACGCACCGTTGTTGTCAGTTGTCAGTTAGTCCTTCTTCATGGTTAGCATGGCGCCTGGGATTGGGTGAAGCACGGAGGCATTTTGCCTTCTGCATTGGAGTTCAGGCTTTGTTTGTTCCCACTTTGTATTGTTTTGGATGTCTACGAGTCTTATGGCATTCTCACGTATGATTGCGGTATATCCAATACGAAATAAAGAATATACGTATAATAGTCCGTCTGTACAAGTTTTTTTATATATTCCCCTACAGATGTATCGATACGGTCAGAAACACACAAGGTATAAGGCTCACCCGAGAAAAAAAACATCATACCAACAAATGATAGGACAGAAACCCTTATCTGGCTCGTTGCTCCTTGCTCCCAAAGCAAATCGAAAAATAATAATACTAAAATAATAGAGGGAAGAATAAATCGTAAAATAACGACCATGGATCTCTAAGAATCAACCAAAACCACCAAAGATATCAGGAACCGTTTTATCTTTCCTTTGCCCCCGTACAAGTTGATAGGCTTGGATTTAATTGACGGCGAACCATGTTACACTCACGACGACATCCAAGCCCCGCTCATCAGCACCGGGGTACTTGAATGTCCACATGCCATCGCGGTTAACATCCCAGAAGGCGCCGGAGGCGGAGTGCATACCGCGCTTGCCGGTGTTGCTGGCGGCACCCTCTGCAGCGGCGGACTTGTCGATCAGGCCTTGTTGCACGATGGTGCTGTTCACGGTGAACCGGTATGGCGCGGCTGCCGAGGGAGTAGACGGGGCGGTAGCGCTGATGAGAGCTTTGAGGATGGTGTTCTATAGTGGTTTGGTGGTTAGTCCGTTGTCAATCCGATGTCAGAGAATACGGTCTGCACTCACAATGATCTGAGAGTTCCATTCGCCGACCTTGGCGTGGTCATAGCCCTCGACATCGTTCAGTGCGGAGTCACATGCCTATTCTCGAATCAGTTCTGGCCTTCATTATCTTGTCATGGTCGACAGTCGTGTTGAATAGTGTGTGTTATCGCGACTAGGTAGAGACCAATGGTAAAGGGGGGAACGTACCTCGGAGGCAATCTTGGTGAGGTCCGCAATGGGGACAGGCTATAGGCGTCCACAAGAGACAGATGTCAGCGCGGACCGAGTCAATGGACGAGCGATAGCGGACAATGACGTTTTAGCGGCGGGACAGGATTGTATGGTCACGCACCGAGGAAGTAGTAGCAGTCTCGACAGCCATTGTAGGTGTGATAGTCAGGTAGGAAGATATTTGTCCACAATAAGACTATCGAGTTAGTATTGTCTAACTGCGATTGGGGTCTAGACGGGCCCAGAATCGACGGTGGGCAGGCCGGAGTGTATCTGGAGATATGATTGTGGGGGGAGAGAGAGCGGCCCCAAGTTCGGGGGAAGACGAATTGACGGTCAGGATCAGCAAAAAAATAAGACTCACCTGATGTAATATGGTATGCAGGGATGAAACAAGCGGCGGTGTTGGCAGAATTCCAAGATTATAGGGAGAAACGGGATTCCAACAGGGCGTGTTTGCTGGATGTTTAGGAGCCGCAGGTCAGCGTGTTATCAGGATTGTGGCTTGACGGTCGATGGTTGGCCCACCCTTTTCAACCAGCCCATACTGGATCGGGATTGGCTTAATAGCTACTTACCAGCTAAGTGCTAGTGTCATGCTTAGCTCGTCACCGCCACAGAATCACGGGGTAACCATAATCCGAAACGACCTCAAGCGATGACGGCAGCAGTGAACGAGGGCACGTGGGATGGAGTGGACGGTCGGAAATCAACCCGACGCCACAAACTAGGCCCAAGAAAGTAAGGAGCAAGACGACCGGAGCGTTTTGTAGCGGGGCAGAATCTGGGCCGTCTTGAATACCGACAGTAGCGGTTGCAGTAACTGTATCGATCCTCTCTAGTCTCCCCCCCGACGCAAAGAATTAATTTTTTTTTATCTCTCCCTCTTCTCTTCTTCCTTCTTTAACCGAGCGTCATCTATCTTTTTTTCCTTTCATCATATTTCTTGGCTGTAACATTATCGAGGTTGATCAGAAACTCTCGACCTCAATTGCTCTCACTCCTCCTTCAAGCTCTCCGGATCCCATCTCAATAGCTCTTATCTCTGGACCCCCTTTCGTACCCACACTCACACACGGACCAAAATGTCGAGTCAACCTCTCCTCCAGACTGCCCCAGGTCAGTAAAAAAGGAATCAGGGATCAATCATCTCAATCCCCTCAGAGTCTCAACTAACAAATCCTCCAAAGGCAAGCGCATCGCCCTGCCCACTAGAGTCGAACCCAAGGTCTTCTTCGCCAACGAGCGGACCTTCCTCTCCTGGCTCAATTTCACCGTCATCCTGGGCGGTTTGGCTGTCGGTCTCCTGAACTTCGGTGATCGCATCGGCCGTATCTCCGCCGGTCTCTTCACCATCATCGCCATGGCGGCCATGATCTACGCCCTCTGTACTTTCCACTGGCGCGCAGCCAGCATCCGCAAACGCGGCCAGAGTGGCATCGACGACCGCTTCGGTCCCACCGTTCTGGCCCTCGCCTTGTTGGCGGCCGTCGTCGTTAACTTCATCCTCAGAATCACAGAGAACTAAAACCATCTCCTGTGTTTTCTTCGGTTTTGTTTTCTAGTGCTTTTTTTTCTCAAACCCCCTTGTTTTGTGGGGCACGTGCCCGTACTTTTGCTGGCGCTAGACCTGGGTTATGTGTTATGGTCTATGCCCTTTATGGACTTGTCTCTTATTCGTGCTGGGGGTGGACGTCGCTGGTCGGTGCAAGGGTGAAAATATCGGTAGATAGATTATGGTCTGGTCTGATGAGCGGTCACAAGACCGTATTTTCTCTTTCTTTTTTTTTTCTATTTCTATGATTGGTTACTGTTGCGTGTATGTGTATATTGTGGGTAGTTGTATATTCCTCTGTTGTTTCTTGTGTTATAGCGATTAAAATTGTGCTACGGCCACTGTTTAGTGAGCTGCAAAATTGCAAAATTGAATTATTGGGAATCAATTGAATACTAAGTACAAAAATATCGTCTCAACCGACCAACAGGAGGAACCCCTAGTTCATCTTTCACTTCGTATCATGGAATCTCGTCAGGTCAATGTACCCGTGGTCAACAAAGTACTCAAAGTTCCAGTAGTCTGCTTGTGTTCCTTGCCCATTCACGGTCGCATTGCCCGAGAACTTCGCGGTCCAGTAACAGCTGCCTTGGGAATACTTGTACATGGCATCGAGACCCGCATTCACATTCCTCTCACGGAGAGCAAAGGAGTTCTGGTACAGGGTTTGGATAGACCATTCTCCCGTGAACACAGGGAACTTGCCGTCTCCCGCCTTGGACCGCGCGTCCGCATAGAGGCGGGCTGGGAGGGTCTCGGACGTGACGTTGCGTTCGAAGTAGTATGTGTGGACGTCAAAGACAAGGTTCGCGTCGGCGGGGAGTTGACCGGACCAGTACTGCTCCGGTTTGAAGCTTCCCTGGAACATGACTGGGATGTTGGGGTTGACGGATGCGACCCTGTCGATTACGGCGCGGATATACTTCAGTACCCAGGTGGCGCCGCGATCTGAGAGCGCTGCAGGGGTTCCGAAGACGGACATATCCGGGTTATCAGTAGGCTCGTTCATCGGTTCGATCGTGTAAGATTGGGGGGACCCCGAGTTCTGGACGAAGGAGATGACGGCATCAATCACTTGCATGGAGTAGTCAAACGCGGTCTCATTGTAATACCAGCCCCAGTGCCCGCTAGCCTCGCCGATGGTGAGACCATTTGTGCCACCAGGAAGGGAGTGGACATCCACAATAATGTGCATGCCATACGTGGTGATCGCGTAGTCGGCGATCTGTTTGAGGTAGGCTGTCTGGTTCCCAGAGTACAGTTGGGAGCCAGGGAGCTTGATCCAGGCGGCGTACGTCGTGGGAATCCGCAAGATTTCTACACCGACGTCGGCCAGCTTATCGATGTCGCTTTTCGTGATGTAGGTCGCATATCGATGTTCCAAAACAGGCCCACACCGGGATCCTAGATGTTCACAAAGTCCCCATTCATCATCCGCGCCGCCGGAATAGGTGCCCCAAAACTGGCTGTCAATCGTGGACTCCTGGACGAGCCAGCCTCCGAGGTTGACGCCATTGGCTTTGAAAGTTGTCCAGTTGACATACTCCGGACTCTGCACTCTGGGATGAGGAACTGCCAAAGCGGCCGAGGTACACCCCAGGGCAGTAAGAAACGGTAGTGACGCACGCATTTTCACGCAAGGAATGCAATTTTCGTAACCTTGTACTGGTAAGCCCGCTCACCTCCCAGGAATCACTCTTCACACCGTGCAAGATCCATGTGGGAACCCTCGCCATGATATAGGCCCAATTGATGTCCCGGTGCCATATAGGAAATCCCGAGCTTGATCGTCTCTCAGTGAGATCATAATGGACATACGAACAGCTCTTCGGGGAAGAATATTCCCGTCCCTGGTTTCTAGAGATCCACATTCTAACCGTAAGGAGAGCATATTCCGCAGCTGTTGAAGCCAAGGCCGTGAGGCAGAAGGCAAATTACCCAATGACAGGAGAGCATAGAGCAAAAATCCATCTTGCGACCCCATGAGAATTCTTCATTAGTATCATGGAATCCACATGGTGACCCTGCCGAAAAGCGTGGTTGCGGGGTGCGGAGGGAAAAACGCCGTTCGTGAGTACCCCAAAAACCCCAGAGTATCCACCACGTGCAATCACAGTCGAGTACGTACGGTCTAACATCAACCCGAAAATGTTGATCAACATTTTTCAAAGACCCCAAAGACTCTGTCCGGAATTCCCCAACTGTGGGAGAAGGAATTGCCGCCTTTTGGCACTCGGATATTCCGAATTCAGACATTTCACTTTAGTTGAGGCACGTTGCGTTATATACAACGGCCACCCTCATGTCTGGAGTGGTCTAAGCCGCGAGTTCGATATCTCACTCAGTTATTGTTTGAGGATACTGTCCGACTCAATCCGCATTTTACACCTGAGGAATCTTAGCATGACAGCACTTGAAGAAGAGACCAAAAGACCGAAGGCGATCGAAGATTTAGCACATACCATTGTCTAATCCAGAAGACATATTCTACCGGAGCCATGGCGCAGGAGAATCTTTAAGTGACTACTGATTCAGAGTTATGGAGATGGTAAGGCCCGGCGGTGATTATCTTCAGATCCAGGAAAACAAAACACCCAAAATGGAAAAAGCGAGGAATGAACTAGTTGTCATGATGTAATCATTTGTACCTCAGGCACTCAGTCAATGACCGTCGTTACCTGATCAGGCAGCGAACGAACCACGGGCCCAGCAGGTTGAAAGAAGTCAAAACCCTTGGAAGAGAATCCGCCATGTGTGTCCGACGAACCTTAACCACACTCACTTTTCCGATCCATGGCGCCGCTAGCTTATAATTCAATTGTCACCACTGTGACTAAAAGGCGATATTCAATAGTTCACTATAACTCCCACACATTCCTCCTCCAGAAGGTCCCATATAGCTCCGTTTAGGGCATTCACTCTGCAGTGCCCAATGAGAGGCGAATAGTCAACATCGCCAACGGTGGTACAGCGCGCTAAACTACTCCTACCAATAGGTATAGTCAATAATTCACGTCGAGTAGGTTGCACTGTACAAAGTACATGCAGTTGACTCCGGTGGCAGTGCAGGAAGAAGTAAGAAAATGGATGGTTCGCAGGTGTGGAAAGAAGAACCACAAGAAAAGTAGAGCTCAGATCCCTTGATACCTACAGAAGTACCATACCGGGCGTGACGATAAATACAACGAAGACGAGCCATGGACCAGTCCAGGCCCGGTATCACATCATTGACCCACCAGCCAATGTGAAGGGTCAATAGTGCGAAGATCTGATTTGACGTGTCATTCTGATTCAACCAGACGCTGGAACAGGGAAGTCAATTCCTGAGGATCAATGAGAGCTCGCGAAGGCCTGATAAAATTATATCAAAAAATAATAATAATAATAATAATAAATAATAGGAAAAGGTTTCACCGGTACTTTTACGACGGACTGACTCGGTAGGAAATTCTCTTCCGGCAAATCGACATTGGTTGTTTCTTGAAGCAGACTAGATAATGATTGAATGTGGTGATAGCTGTTCACCCCCGTCGTCATAGACCATTCCACCTCTTGTATGGAGTAGTGATGAGTAGTATGTAGTAGTAGTAGTACTACTACTACTATTATGTACAAACATACATACAGGTTACCAACGAGAAACAAAAAACCACTCTGGAAGATCCCCTCACGGTCACTGATCCTCTTTTGCCCCCCCATCCAACTTTTTTAAAAAAAGATATTCTTCTCAGTTTCCCTTTCTTAGAACCCCAAACCAACAACTCCTCCTCCAACCCTTACTCTTCCACCGTTTCCTCCCGGATTCTTTCCTCTTCTTTCTCCTTCTCTCCATACCCGACGGGTTTCATCACTCTCCATCTCCGTGAAAAGATTTGGGTCCCTGGTCGGACGACAACTGACTTGCAATCTTCTTATCGACGCGTTTCTTTTTTCCTCCCTCGTTCTCCTCCGTATATACTTAGTTTTCTTTTCTTTTCTTTTTTTATCGTTCCCCAACTGATCTTTAATTGATTCGCAGAGCTGCAGATTAACTCCCATTTCCTTCCTATTCTGTATCATCTTTTCGGAGCTGATTGAACCCAAAAAGTCGTTTACTTATCTTTATTTTAGTTTACTCTTTTTTTTTTTTTTTCCTCTTTCCTCTTGCATCCCCTCTGCTTGTCTGCTGCCTGTTCCTGTTTGTTTCGTTACGAGTTGTTGTTCCTTAGCATCCATTATTAATAGATTACGCCACCACCTTTCCGCCTATTTTGCCTCTCTGGAGGTGCCAATCAATAGCCCCGTGGATCCTCTTTTGCGTTCCCTTCCTTTCCCGGGAACTGCATGTGAGTGACTAACTTACCTTACTTGTTGGGACGTACGGCAAACGTACTGTATCCTCTCTCATACTTTACTCCATATCCCCATAGCTTTTTTGTTCTGGTGCGCTTATCTGTCATTATTCATTCCTCTGGGAAACTCTGTCTGGTTCGGAAATTCAATCTAAAACAACTTTCTCCCGAACTACTCCTCCCAACTTCCTTATCATCCTGTCCTCTCCCGCTGAAGGTGGTGAATCCGTTCTAACGTCCGGTGTTTCTGGTTGGGGTGACTCTTTCCTCCCTTTCCCTCCCCCCTTGCTGAGCTTCTGCCGGTCGCAAACAACGCCTGATCATCGATCGGCAGCAACGTCCACTCCTTCGCGGTCTCTACGCCTCACTCTCCACCTCTCCATCTTTTTTCCCCCAGATTTAGATCGCGTTCGCATGCACTGGTGCATGATCTAATCACTCAAGCGACTAACTGTATTTGCGACTTTTTTTTTCTGTCTCCCCCTTTTTCTTCTTTCGCTTTCGGACGTGTCGCATTTCTCTCAAGTCGCCTTGGCGTCTGAACACCCTACTGCTCTCCCTGTCGCACATCTCTCGCATGGCATGTTTCGGCTGCTACCCTGGTCCTCTGCAATTGGGGGGAATAAGGTGATGGCTGAGGAGCTCAAGATGCTCGCGACCTCGCCACACTGCGCCGCGCCAGGTGTGAACAGCCTGGCGCTGCCCCAACTGAAGCGCAAGCGCTCCGATTCGAGCGATTCAGCCACCGGTCAAGGTGCCCCGGTCGCAACCAAGTTGCGCGCAGACGATACGCCCAGCAATCCGGTCGCGATTGGTCAAGGTCCGTCTCTATCTCTAAGTAGTGCGACTGCGACGTCGCAGGAATCAACAACCCTCAGCGATCGCGCATCCCAACCGTCGCACCCGTCCGACAACGCATCTCGTCAGAACCCCGACCCCTCAGGTTTCCCCGTCGCCAAACAGGACGCCCCTCCGCGTAAAGTGAATGTGGACAGGTTGCGCGAGACGTTAGAGGCGCAGTTAAGCTTAGAGGTGTTATTGAAGCACAATGAACTGCGCTTGATCGACCAAGAGATCGCCAAATGCCAAGTCGCGTTGGAACAGTTGCGACGGTGCGCCGAGATCCCGTATCCTGGATCGCATGCCATAGGACAATCGGTCAGCAACGGTACGGGGATGGCAGTGTTAGCTCCTGGAAATGGACCTCCGCCGCTCTCCCCGGCACCGTGGGGTGTAACGGATGGCCCATACACCCGTCATTATGCCCGATGGTTACTACCAGACCCGCGTTTCGACGGAGGGGAGCTCGAGCCGGCAACCCCTCTAGGATTTGGTACGCCAGGTACGCCGCTGATGGAAGGCCGTTCGACACGTGGAACCTCTGGCGATGGCTACTGGGCAAGCAAATCTCGCCTCCAGAGAGGCTCGGGTAACATGAAGCTGCAATCCTTGCCGAATGGCTATCCACCGCCGAAGGAGAAAGCGGGCCCCATGATCATCCGGCGAAAGTCAGATGGTATCCTGGTCAAACTTGTGTGCTTGGACTGTCGAAGGGACAATTTCTCCAGCACGCAAGGATTCATCAATCACTGCCGCATTGCCCATAATAGGAACTTTGCTAGTCACGATGCCGCCGCGGTCGCATCGGGAGAGCCCGTCGAGGTGGACGAAGCGGGTGCGATCATTGGGGGTAAGAACGACACCTCCAGCACCGCCACGGCAGGTTACGTTCATCCGCTCATTCGATCCGCTCACGTTATTGAATCGTCGTCCAAGACCCCATCCGCATCGGAGGCCTCTGGTGACAACGCGACGCCCCGGAAACCGTCGGTCTCCAGCCAGCAGGCGTCCTCCGTGGTGGAAACACCTCGTCCGTCTGCCCATTCTCTACCCAGTCGGCGCAATATGCCGGCGAAGCCATCGGATGACTTCCTGGGCTCGCCGGCTACCCCTCATCTGTCATCACTAATGCAGCTCAAGGGTGTCGGACTCGATCTGGACCGACTAGTTGGGGAAGCGAAAACCCCCGTTGATCTGAGCGCCTTCTCGTCCGACGAGGGCGAGTCGGACGTGGAGCCGGCCCAGCCGTCGGTCAATGTGAGTCACGGTGAAAAACCGACTGACGCTCGCATTGGCCGGCAACCAATGCGGACCACCGCTCCGCAAGCCGGGTCGCGGCGCCCAAGTAGCCGAAAGGGCGTGGACAAGACGAGTCATAAGCCCCTCACCTTGGAAACCCTGACGCCAACGCGGGCCGCACCTTATCAATCTCCGTACGGCCCACCATCATCGATGGCTCCGATCGATGATCTTCGTCTTCGTGAAGTCGATGGGCTCGATCGGTCGGCCAATCTCAGTCCGAACACCGTCGAGTCGAACCAGGCTCCGAGTCTGGTGAGCGACGATGACGACTACGAAGCGGCCTCGGATTCGGATAGCCCGGGTCCCAGCTCGTCCGAAGCTGGCGATCACGAAGAAGATTTCAGTCACATTGACGTGGAAGACGACGACGATACGGCGGGCTCCACGACAACCAGCGATCCCAAATCTAACCCGGCCGCTCATCCTTCACCTTCTTTCTCGAAACCGCTTCGAGGAGGCAGCTCCAAGAAGAAAGATAGTATTCTGTCCGCGTCCATTGTGTCATTGAACCGTGGCAAGGATGAGAAGCGTGTGAGCTTTGCCAGTCCAGACACCAGTCCTGCCAAGGGAAAAAAGGACCACAAGCGAAAACTTAGTGGAGGCCAGTAAATGTTATAGACTTCTTTTCTCTTTCTTTCTTTTCTCAGCTCTTATCACTACTCGCAGGGGCTAGACCTCTCGTCTGTTGTAATGCTATACATCTCTCCCCCAATTCTTGTATGAGACTTTAGGGCCTTACAACTTGTGTTTTACGTGGGACTGTGCTTGACATGGTCCAATCAGTCTGGATGATTCTTAGTGGTTGCATGTTCTAGTTATTATTGGTTTGTGCGATGCAAGACGTTGCAGCTGAGCGTTTCTGGCGATGTTTACGGATGCAACTGACGACTCTCTACTTATACGGGATGATTCTGTATTGAAATAATTAAAGATTTGCAAATTGCCCAAGTTATGGAAACGTAGTTCGAATGTATCAAGAGGAATAACTTACCAGATGGTATTTTTAATATCAAACTTACCACATCTAAATTAACTCTGATAAGGTATCATTACCATACCATACCATACCACCACCACCACCACCACCACCACCAACAAGTTTGCCAAACTCAACCTCAGCCAATGAAAGATTCATAAAACCATCATACATCAACATCTGAAACAAAGATACAGTGACTGGTGATCTAAACAACCAGACACCTCAGTAAACAAGTGACTCTAGATTCCCCAGCACACTACCCAACACCCCAAATAGAGAACAAGAGAAGAAAGACTAAAGAAGAAGATGAACGAAGAAGACCAACAACACCAACCCAACGCCTTCACAGACTTTCACCCAGGCCACATCACCCAGGATACCTTCCAGGCCCTATTAACCTGCTACCCGGCCACGTTGGACGCCGTGACGCGCCGCAAGGTCACAGACCGCGTCCTCCGAGCAGCCTCCACACGAGGTAAGCGTGCCAAACGCTCGCGCCAGGCGTCTCCTCCTTCCCAGGTGGTGAACTCTGAGCTGGATGAGGAGCAGAAGAAGCAGGTCGAGGCGGAGGTGGAGGCATTCCGGGAGTTGGATGCGCTGAGGTATGAAGGGTTGCCGGGGGTGGTGGCCGAGAAGAAGTGTTTGGAGAAGGAGGAGGTTGTCAGGTTGGTTGAGTGGAAGTTGTGAGTTTTCTCTCTTTTTTTTTTCCATGTGACTTGATTCGAGTTCAATGGTTGGAGTGTGGTTGTTGATCCTTGTGTATTAGAAAACATGGTATCTTCCGTCCTGCTTTGCTGGGCATGGTGAAGTCGAATCCAGCGAAGACGGTGCAAAAAGCTACGTCGGATGCTTTTACGGCAGTTAATACGAGTACATCTGCCCAGGATGAAGCTGAAGCTAAAACTGAAACTGGTGACGGGCCAGAGACCATCGACCCGACAGCTTCATTCCCCAAGACGAGTCTAGATGCTCTGATGAAACCGCTCCGCGGCGTGGGCATAGCTACTGCCTCGCTACTCTTGTCTGTGGGGACGATCCGTGACCCAGAGCATGAGGCTCCGTTCTACAGTGACCATACGTACCTCTGGCTGTGTATGAAAGAGTTCCCGGGATATGGGACCCGACTCGGTCAGGAGAGCGAAAAGACAGAGGTCAATAAGCTGGGGAAGAAAGCGGGCAAGTTCAAACCGAATGGCGAGATCAATGTCAAATATGATGTCTCGGAGTATCAGTCGTTGTGGACGGCTGTTAATGAATTGCGGGGGAGGTTGAATGAGACTGAGTCTTCTTTGGGGAAGGTATCTTGTGCCGATATTGAGAAGGTGGCTTTTGTGTTGAGGTATATTGATGTTTCGGGGTATTTAGAGGAATATGATCGGGTGGATGATGTTTTGCATACTCATGAGGCGGAGGTGAATCCGGGGATTAAGCGGAAGGGGTTTGATAAGGAGGAGAAGGGAGGTCGGATGAGTACGAAGAAGAAGAAGACTTGACTGGCTTTTTGTGGGCTGGGTTATTCGTCGTTGTTTACAGTGATATCCAATGTATTTGTATCTTTTAAATCTAAGGTTGCCCTTTATGTCTAACCTTATGAGCACACCTGTGTCTATCTCTTATAAGTTGTAACTCCCCATAGATCAGATAATCTCCCACCGCGATGAATAAATTAAGTGCGACTACACTAACTCCAGCCGAACAGGATCAATTGACGTCTCCTCAATGCTTATTTCCCCCGTTGGCGCCATTCAAGCGGGCCGGGACCACATCGTCCACCCAACGACATCAGCTCTGTAATGCCATCTCCCCACATCGTGGCCGTCAGACTTGGCGGGCCTCGTCACCCACGCTGCTCAATTTGCGTCGCCGATGATGAATCCACCACGAACGTTTGGACCGGAGTGGGAACTCCTTCACTTTCCCCTTTTCCTTTATACTCTGCCACTGGCCGGTGGTGCTGGTACTAGAGCGTACTCCATATGGTACTCCCCACAGCTCATCTCCTGACTCGTAGACATAATAAAAAAAAAAAAAGTATAACCACACTGTAGTATACAAGGTCTTCACTTATCTATTTATCTCATTCAAAGACTTTTGATAATGCATTTCCCTCACATACACATACATAAACAGAAGATACATAGACATAGAACCCCCAATGTCAATATACATATACCTATACCCCCTCCTCCTCCTCACTTCCCTACTCAACCTAACTCAAGCCCTAACATGGCACGCCCTCCTCTACGATACCGGCCTCCTAGGCGCCCACCCCCGCACAGAATACGAATCCTTCGATCTCGCCTCTCCAGAACCCAACATCTTGAAATGGGACCCTCGCTGCGAAGATAAGTACGTCTTCCTCAGTCCACGGGGTCATTTCTATCCGCACCCGGGCCCACTGATATTCGATAATAAGGGGAACTTGGTCTGGATGGAGAGTCGGTTTGGTATGGTTATGGATTTTCGGGTTCAGAAGTATCGAGGGGAGGATTATTTGACTTTTTGGGCTGGGGAAGATGATGGGACGAGAGGGTTGGGGAGGTATTATATGGTTTGTTTCTTTTCTTTCTTTCTTTCTTTCTTTCTTTCTTTCTGGGGGTGAGGGTTATGAGGGTTATGAGGGATCGAGTCGAGAGTTACTCCCATACATACATATATATACTAACAACAGATATATAACCTACAGTTAGACAAAACCTACACCCTAACCCACACAATAACCCCCGGCGACAACCTCCACGGCGACATCCACGAATTCCAAGTCACCTCGACGGGAACAGCCCTAATAACCATCTACGAGATCATCCCATACGACCTTACACCCATGAACGGGCCCCAACACGGATGGATCTACGATTGTCTCTTCCAAGAAATCGACATCGAAACCGGGTCATTACTCTTCCAATGGCGTGCCAGCGACCACTACAATATCACCGAGACGTATTTCCCGCTTGAGGAGGGAAAGGGACTGGCGAACTCGAGTGAGTCGGCGTACGACTATTTCCATATTAACAGTGTGGATAAACTGGAGGATGGGCGGTATTTGGTTTCGTCGAGATATATGCATACTGTGACCTGTATTGGGGGTGATGGGGAGGTGTTGTGGGTTCTTGGGGGGAAGAGGAATATGTTTCGGGATTGGGAGGGGGGGTTGGCGATGGGGATTTTTAAGTGGCAGCATAATGCGAAGTGGGTTTCTGGGTCTTTTGGGTCTGCATCTGGGAGGAATGGGGGGGTGGATGTGATTACGGTGTTTGATAATGGGGCGAATGATCATGTCATGGACGAGGATCATAGTCGGGGGCTGGTGATTGAGGTGGATGTTGGGAATTGGACGGCGACGTTGAAGCGAGTATACCATGCTCCTGGGGGCTTCAGTGCGCATTCGCAGGGGAATGTGCAGGTGTTGGAAGAGTCGGGGAATGTGTTTGTGGGGTGGGGGAAGGCTGCGGCGTATACCGAGTTCAGTGCTGGTGGAGAGGTGCTCTGTGATACACATTGGGGTCCCAAGATGTTCTTCCCTCTGGGCTGGGTCAAGTCGTATCGGACGTATAAGGCAGGCTGGGTTGGGAGGCCTGTTATGCCGCCGGATGTGGCGGTTGATGAGGGTTTGCGGACGGTGTTTGTTAGTTGGAACGGGGCAACGGATGTGGCCGGGTGGGTTTTGCAGAGGGCGTGGAATTCTACAGAGGACGAGTTTGAGACGGTGGATTATGTGCCCAAGACTGGGTTCGAGACGGCCATTGAGATGGATGAGAGTGCAGGGTCTTGGAGGTTGATTGCGGTGGATTTCACCGGCGAGGAATTGGGCTATACGGAGGTGTTTTCTCTGGACCATTCGGTATGTTTGCCTCTATTTGGTGATCTAGAAGGGCTGATACTGACACGTCCTATCTATAGGAGTCTTGGATCCTCTCTTCGGCATTGGCGGGAGAGGATGGTCTGCTGTATATGCTTATCCCTGCCTGTATGGTGGGAGCTGCACTGGCTGCTCTGTGGCAGACCAGGAAGAGGATTGCAATGGGGCTGCGTTATCTTGCTGCTCTACGGGCTCGGCAGTTTTATTGATTCCGTTTAGTTTATTGTTTGGTTTGTTTCATCTGATACCCTATGCATGGATAGCGTGATGTATACAAGACACACGCAGGTAGTTAGCCCCCTTAAGACACATTGAAAACGACAAAGCACATTGCGTCTGAGAGACGGAACTCGATATGACTACAATTACATTGATTGAATCATACACTAATAGACATACATTAAATCAGTTCCCCTTCCATCAATGCGACTTACACATCAACGTGATTACTATTAAAGATTATCATAAATTCCTCGACTTAAAGCTGGAGCAATCAAAGTCCCAGAACCCCCAGTACAACGCCCAGCATCAGTCCCCCCTCGACAGTCCCGAATGCTGCCGTAGGAAGAGAAGCAGCACCCGTCGACGTACTAGTCGAGGTGGTAGTAGAGGAACTGGTCTTCTTTGCTTCCGTCGCCGAAGAGGTCGAAGAGGCGATCTTTGTTGACGATGAGGGGAGAGCCTTCGCTGCGTTGCAATAGACCTGTTGCTTTTGCCTTTCAGGAGTGCTCTGTGTAGAACCAGGGCAGTTGTTGAAGCATCTGTTTTATGTCATTCCATCCATTAGCTATCTATAGCGTTATACAGGAGTGTTGAACAGGAGCCAAAGTGCTTAAACTCACGTAACAACGTTGCCCTGCTGTTCACACAGGCATCTCCAATCGTTTACTTCGCAACTGTTCACTTGTTCTAACATTCGTGATTTACAATCATCGACGATGCTGTTCAAATAAGCCCGGTCAATACATTTGACTAGAAATGAGCAGGCTGTGTGACATACTTCTGAGCAGCGCACTTCGTCTCGGTCGAAGTTGTTGTCCCCGCAGTAGCAGTGGCCTGGGCCTGTGCCGCTGCAAGCAAGGGGAGGGATCCTGCCAGGATGGTGGTAAGGAGTGTAGCACGCATGTTTCCGTTTTGGGTTCGTTTATTGGTAGCTGGATTGAGGCTTAGGGCAAACGGGGATGGAATATAGAGAATATGTTGTCACTAGACAGTCCTTGGACAAGAGTACAATAACGTAGCAAAGAAAAAAAACCAAGGGAGAAGGGACAGCTCAGCTCTTAAATCAAACACGACGATGTCTGAGCGTCTTCCCAGAAAGTGAAAATGAGCGTGGGCATCATCTGCAGAGCTCTCAACTGTAAGTCATGACACCCACCAAGTGAGAAAGGGTGGTGGATATGGGAGACTCTTGCATCGAACTATATCAGCCACCCCGAGGGATTGTTTTCCATTGAGCGACCATGAATGGTCCACAGCACTGACAGGGTTTGTTAGTGGGCAGTTGTCTCAGGGTCAATTTTCAATAATATCAACCTAGCAACCCTATCGGGTTACATTTCCTAAGATCAATTAGATACAATAGGGACATTTTGATCCCCAACTGCTGGATGGGGTGGACGTAGTCGGTTGAGGCATCAAGTCAAGTCTCTTCTTCCCCTTGTTAGCTTGCAATTAGGGACGATCTTCTTTATCGAGTTCCTCAATTGATTCTGTACAGTTGAGTGTCTATCAACTAGCGGTGACTAAAAAGGACTCAGGAACTAAGTCCAATAGTTGGGGACGATGTATCACTTCCTCTATCTCCCCACGTCTCCAAAATCAGACCGGTCACATGCGGCCACTGGACAACACAAACCCTAAAACCGGATACGGAATATTAAACCCTCCTTAATGTAAAGACTCTCCAGATTCAAGTCAGCTCGTTATCCATAGGACAATAATACAGAATATATACAAAGCCACCACTCTGAAAGTAACGAAAGAAGAATAGAGGGAAAAAAAAAATTCATATAATCTGCTCCAAGCCGCATGCAACAAAACGAACACCACGAACGAAGGGGGAATATGGGATGCCAAAGGGACACAAGCCGGTGGAGATCACGAACATGCGCATGCGCCCTCTCAGTCGCGTTGGTTTGCATGCCGTCCGCGCTGCACGCGGCGGCGGAATTAATATACTCGTATGCAAAATATCTTGTCTCGGAATGGAACAAAAGATGCATCTATTCCTGTCCGAAACCTAACGTCTCCTCCACTGCAATAGAGAGTTTATGCTCAAGCACATCATTGGTCTTATACGGAGGAAGATCAAGACGGTTGAAGCTACAAAAACAGTCAGCTAAGCATTCGCGATGGCTATAACGCCGAGAGGGGAAACGTACCATGTGTGGGACTTGGGCAGCGCCCCCGGATCGCCAGACTTCTCGATGGTGAACCGTCTCGGTCCGTCGGAACCCTGCAGGTCTTTGAACCCGTTAACTGGGATACGGGATGTTCCGGTAGTGAACTGAAGCAGACGGGACTTCTGTTCCGCATCCCAGCTGCGGACAATCTTCCAGAAGTTCTGGATCACCTCATCCGACTCCTGGTAGCCACGGTAGTCGGTGTGCTTCTTCCAGTCATCAACGTCAATGTCCGCAATACCTCCAATCAGCAATTCCAACTCCCGCTCATCAAAGACGTTGACCAAATCAGCAGGGATCAGTTCATTGAAGCCTGACATGAAGGCGTTGAACTGCTCCTCAACCCGTTTCACAATCTTCCACTCAGTGACCAACCTGATCCAGTGTTAACTTTTCTCCCACTCACTCCTCACTGGGAAGCCAAAACTTACTCAACGTATTCTCCCTTGTTTTCGTTGGTAACAGGAATATCCCGACCACCCGGCTTGAGGTCGATCGTGCGGCGCTCTCCGAACTTCTCGTCATCAACCGCGAACGTTAACTCTATAATGCCCTCGATATCATTATCCCTATGAATGATCAGCAGGAGTTCTTGACATATGCCTCAGGATACGGGGCTACAGGAACGTACAAAGTCCAAGTCAGATTGCGGTGCAGATCTTCGTCAACACCCTCCATATCTTGCAGCGACACCTTCTTCCGGAGCATCATCTTGTAGAACGCTCCAATAAAGAATGAGTCAAGGAAACGGCGGTGGAAAATGGCCAATCCAACAACACGTCCAATGAACTTGAAGTAGTTCAGATGCTCCGGATTAACGCCCGAATGAGGATTAATTTGCAGGGTATAATTATCATGTGCGGAGTATTCGAAAAGACAATAGAAGGGGTTAAACATTTCGTGAGAGAGAAGGAAAAAGAATTCACTTGGGCGCCATTAGCTTTGAGCAGTTCCTCACAATCGGCAGGACTACTTACCGGGACAGACCACCATAATCCAACCCGTCTTCACCGTCAAATTTAATCATCAAGCGCTTCTTCAGATCCGAGGCACTCTGCCGCATGATCTCGGCGTAGGAATCCTCGAAGATGTTGTTACGTCGTACCTTGACGTGACATTGTCCGGACATGATTCTCAAAGCGGGCTGTGACCGGAAGTAGATCAGTTTACGTCTAAAGTCACGCTTGTACTGCGGGACGCCTTGATCCAGGGACGACGGCAGACGGGGATCGTCCCAGGTGGTCGTCTTCGTGTTGTGGTCGACGAAGTACACACGTGCAGTATTCGTCAAGCGCATCTCCCAACCACTGGGCAACGGCCCCAGTTGGGACACTGGCTGCTGTTGAATGGTGGTATTGGTGCCGTTGGCATTCTGGCCATACATCCGGATGTACTGCTGTCGTCGCGGATCCACCCATGTCGTGGTGCGAGTGTTGTGGTCGACAAAATACGGCCGTCCTTCGGGGGTAGTCCGTTGCTCCCATCCCGGCGGAAGCTCGCCAGTGCCAGCGGTGGTCGCTCCCGTAGCCATCATAGAAACAGCACTGGCGCTGCCACCGGCCGGCGGGGTCTGAGCCTGTTGCTGGTTCTCCTGCAGGTTGGGTGAGCTCGCACCGGTACGATCCTCCGGGAGCATACGACTTTGGTGGGCTCTCCGCTCAAGCTGCATACTGGCCTCCCGCTGCGTGCGTGACGTATGCTCGTTGTAGTTGTTTGACGGTCGGGTCCAAGTGGTCGTCCGCGTGTTGTGATCCACATAGTATGTCCGTCCCAAATTATCCTCTCGTCGCTCCCAGCCGGCTGGCAGTCGTCCTTGGCTATCTTCGAACGAACTAAGGTTTGTGCGAGAACCTTGCTGACCATTGGGCGGAGCAGGCGGGCCATTGGCAGGTACAATCGTACTGCTAGGCCGCGTAGTTGATGGGACACGCTGAGGGTGGAGAGATGGATTCGACGCAGTTGGGTCAGCTTGACTTGGGCCGGGAGACGGCTGCGGAGTCGATGCCGATACCTGTGGCACAAGCCCGCTAGAAGTTGATTGCTGCATATGTGACCGGTGTAAGCCGTTTGCTTGGTTGGTATTGGGTGTACTCAGGTTGGTGGAAAGATTGATGATGAGTTTGCCATGCACGACAAGATTGTCGTTGGACTTCTTCAAGTCTCGAGTGAGCATCTCTGTAGCGCACGAAGTGATGATGTCAGTTGAGACACTTTCACACACGGGACAAACCCTTTAGAAGATGACGACAGTTGACTCGCAGAGCAACTTACCATCACCGCCCATTTGCAAATCTATCACATCACCGATCCGTACATTGATCACACCGAGGAACCCTTGGTCCTTCTTCTTGAATTTCTTCTGGTCAAAGATCTGGATGGCAAGGATGCTATCTTCATTTACTCGCCTGTATTGTAATGTTGATCAGTATGGAGACGTCGAAAGTTGGCCGGGGAGGCATACAGATCAAACATCTCATTCCAGTAAGGGTTCAATGTCTTTTTGATGACAGAGGTTGTATGGGTTTGTTCGCCCCCCACAGTGGCCACAGCGAACGGATCGGGGAATCCTGTATAAATAAAGGAAGGTATTAGTGAAACTTGTAAGGGCGATAGTCGATAATTTAAGATCATATGAGCACAACATACGGAAGACATCTCGTTTATATAGTCCATCCGCCGCGATAACTGAAGAAAGAAAGAAAGTCAGTAAACTCTTCGCTCTTTTCCTCTCTAGGTAAGAATGACTGATAGTTCTCCCCCATTCCTGGATGTCTTACTTGTAACCCTGAGGTTTGGCTGGCTGCAAGTCATTGATTCGTTAGCACACCCTCGCTTTCAACCCACGAGACTTTTCTCTTCTTGCTTTGGGCGTGATGGAACTTCTTATTCAAAGGAAAGGAGCTTCCGGAGAAGACTTACGCGGGCAGATTGGAACCCATCCTGTACTGTAGAAAGGGAGCGGGCAGTACACGCCTCTGGATGCCAAACGGCCGATCAGGACAAGCCTAAAAGGTAATTCGCGGCGTGCGCATCCACCACAAACCACAGACCGCACACTAGGCAAGAATCGAAAGATCGGGAACACAGGTCGGCCGTAGATCGAATGACAGAAGCGGTGGTGTGAAGTGGAGAGGGGAGGGGGGGGTGAAACCGGAGCGAGATTGATGATTGATGCAACGGAGAAAACTAAAGATGAGTTGAGGTTTGGCGATAACGGGGAGACTAAGCCTGAAGTTGGAGGCGCGGGCAACTTTTGGGGCTGAGCAAACCAGAGACGGTCCTTGACGTTGCGCTGTACGAACCAATCACCTTGTGACGAGGGGCTTTCTTCCGACCAGACGAACAGCGCGCGGTTGATAGACTTGATTTCCGTTTGGCTCTTTAGGGACCGTAGCGCGGGTGTGGGCGGATCGTGGCGAAGGAGGGGAGGGAGGGGGGTAAATAATTAAAAATCTCTGGCAAAAAAAAAAAAAAAAAATAACAAAAGGAATTAGGAAAAATAAAAATTATAGAAATATTCGAGTGATATTGTAAACGTCAATAATACATAAATAAGCATTCTATAATATCATTCCAGAGGTTCCTCCAGCCAAATATATCGGTAATCATCATGTAATAATATACTCCAATCCATGTCGTTTCACTACAAATAATACCAGCAAAAAAACGTATAAAAACCACTTCCAACTTTTCCTCATTCCAGCTACAAAATTACCGATGACTAAAAGTGACAAGTACTATGTGGTATCCATTTACATACTTTACTGTCATCCCAGATCAGGAAAATGGAAAGACCGGTGATGGGATACCTGAAATCTAAGGTGTCCAAGTCAGCGGCTAACCAAAGATTCCAGACGCCAAAAGCAGCAACCCCGCGTGCTTAAGTTCCCATTCGACTGGAAGAAACGTTTCGCCCGTAGCCCAAGCCAAGCATTTAGTGGCTTTCCCGTAAGGCAACAAAATTATTCCTCTATTTTTATATTGACTTTGGTACTATGTATACTACTCTCCAGGCCCTCTTCAATCATTACCCCTTATTGTCGTCGTTTAGGACCATACTCGGAGTACGAACAGTACGACCGATTATAGGCAGTGGGGCGCACTGCTTTAGATCGCCTACTTACCAGGTTCATCGCCATGGTTTGATCCTTAACGTCGCAATCACCTGGTACATAGTACCTAGCTCCGTATACATCGTATCCTTACCCACACACACTCACTCACTCACCACACCACACGTGAAAAATAAATAGAGGGAGACACCATAGTGTTTTCCATTGACCCTGTAAGATATGCTTTCAAAAAAAAAATTGACGATGATCGTAACGAAATCAAAATAAAAAATAATAATAAAAGAAACCCCAGTAGAATATGGGTGATATCATAGAAACAAGCGGAATCCATCCATCCTACCGGTTGCCAGATGGTTATCATACAGTACATCCCATCCCCAACTCCAAAGTATTCTCCATGAAATCAGAGAAACCTCACGATTTATCGATTTAATGTGGACGTGTTCAGCCGTATTCCTCTTTCACTCGACTCGTTCGAGATCGCTTGCTCTTATCTGCGAACTATTCGCCCTCGGCGTGGCGGCATACGTTGCATGCATTTTAGTAAGGTGCATAGCCCCGACCCCGGCCACCACGATAGCCTCCGCGGTAGCCTCCCCGAGGGGGATAACCGCCACGGAAGAAACCCCGGCCTCGGAAGCCACCTCGTCCGCGACCTCGAGTCATGCCGGGCACGTTGGTGCGCTTGGGGACAACCTGTGTGCGTGTTAGGTGAGGAAACGGCACTGGACACAAGAAGTAGACAAGGAGACCAACCTTAAGGTTCCTGCCACGGAAAACACTCTCATTTAGAACAAGTGCCTGGGCCACCAAGCTAGGCTCTGCAAACTCTACATATGCGTACCTGTGCCACAAGCGTCAGCATTCGCAACAGAAGTTGTATCCATAAAGCAGAAAGGGAGGGAGGAGACAGTCCCAAAAGGCTGGCAAAGTGGTCACGCACCCTTTCGGCTGACCCGTGAACTTATCCAGGAGAATAGTAACACGGTTTATTGAGCCACAGCTCTGGAAATGCGCCTGAATCTCCTCCGGGGAAGCACCGTAGTCAACGTTGCCGACGAAAATACTCCGCGCATCGATCTCTTCCTTATCTTCCCGCAGGTTCTCGGACTGTTGATCAAGGGTGGCTTGCATCTCGCGCAACTTCGCCGCCTCGGATTCCATTTCGGCTACCCGTCTCTTCATCGCCGCAATCTCTTCCTATAGACGAGACCACCGTGTTAGTTGGAACTTGTGCGATAAGAGTAAACCATTGTGATAAAGCAAAGGCGATGCAGAAACACCAGAGTTGAGCTTCCGGTCTTCAATCTAGCTTGAGCTTCTTCAGCTTCAAGGAACAAGCTTACCTCATCATCAGCCCCTTCTTCCTGATGCTGCAGGCGCTCATCTTTGACCTCGTTCTCTTCAGGATTCATTATGGAAGTAATCTTGGGATGCCTCCTCTTTTCTATGTTCGACCCGCGGAGTCAAGGAAAAACTCAAAGTTGTAACGGCACCTCCCCGACTGCTAGCGGAGCGGAGTGGAGTAAGAGCTCTGGGAAAATATAATATCCGACAAATGCAAAACGTTTTAAAGACTGGGGTAAAGGAATTCTAGATTCAAATGATTGAAGAGGTAAACAGAATGCCCTGCAACCGGTGATTGGAGGTAGACGGCCCGTCGTAGTAGGCCACAAATGGTTATGCTCGTGTTTGATCGACGCCGAAGTCACTGCTGCTCTTTCCGGTTAGCGACTTTTGTCATCTGAACCTTCACAGGCAACGAACTTCACCCAAATCCATGCTCAAGTACAAGGACTCTCTCGTAACCGTCGCAAAACAAAAAGGTTATCCACCTTTGTCACCCTTCTATTTAGACTTCAAAACTAGCTAGCTACTTTCGCTGGTTCTATTTTTGATTTCTTTCTTATCTTTTCATTTTTCTAATTTATAGAAAATCGTAAAACAATGCCACTTTCCTTTCCTAAGGCCAAGTGGCTGTAACTGCGCAGTACCAACAATGCGCGCGGAAGTATTCAGCACTATAGAACTTGGTAGATTAATTCGGTTCAGTACCTTACAACTATCGGAGCAACAGAAAGATCAGATACTAGCAAGCGATGTTTCATCTGGGTTTAGAGTACACTGTCAGAAGGGAACCAATGCAGGCAACTCACAAGGGTCCGGAAAAATCCGTTCCATCATCAAATTCAAGGCGTAGGTCAGTTGGGGAAAGCTAGGTAAATTCAAGTCACATACAATTAGGAGGTCATGATCGTGGCTGTTTCTATGACATATATACAAGCAAATATTACGAAGCGTTAACTCATGATTGAACGGAGTTCTTGCGGAACGAGACCTTTTCGACCGCGACGGTTTCAACACCATTGGCGTCTGTCTTGAGTTGGTAGACATACAACACAAGGACGTCACCTTGAATCTGGAAAAAAAATGTTCAGTATTGGTGAAAGAAAAAGAGTCGTATGGAGATATTAGGGTCTCGACTCACGTCCATCAGACAAAAGCTCGGTGTTGGTTCCTCTCCTTCGGGCCAATACCCGGTACTCAGAGCGCCCGTTGCACTTCCTGGGGTGATAAAGAATCTTCCCTCCATTTCAAAGGCATCGAAGCGGTGCGCACCACCCCATAGTAATATATCAACATCCATCTGACGTGCGGCGATAAGCAGGGCTTCGGCGTCACCCGGCGGGATGATGGTGTGGCCATGGGTAAGACCAATACGGAGGCTTCCGTGGGTCACCACTTTTGAGAGGGGTAGATTGGGAGAGTCGACATCGAAATCACCTTTGACCAATTGCAGATCGGGAGCGATACCACGGAGGAATTCAAATGTACTTCGGTCGGTCAGGTTGCCCAGACAGAGAATCTGGCCGATCTTGCCTGGCGTTAAGAGTTTCCGAAACTGCGACAGTTAGTCCGGATTGGTTTGCACAGTAGATTGTTGCCGATTGACGGGTGATTGAGTGGCGCGCACCTTAGCCGGAAGATCCTAGAGAAAGCATGTCAGCTAATTGAGAGAAGACGAAGAGAACAGGCATTTTCAGTACCGGAGCTCTATCAGGAATAAAGAGGTCACCAATGACCAGAACAAGACGCGACGTCATCCTGGAGAGAGGAACTAGCAACTCAACAGCCCATTCCAAAGAAACCTGTGGTTATGAGGCAAAGTAGTTACCTGCAAGTGTACAGGATAACGGGGACCGCCAGTGAACTAGTAGTCAAGGTTACGTATGGTTATTTGGTGCTCCGTCGACTCGATGGAGCCTTCGCGGGGAAAGCTCACTGACGCCTGACGCCGATGCCGCGGTCCTCGAGCCCTAAGCCCTATCATTGTGACAGGGATGGTTAGCCTGGCACTCTTATCAGGTATATATTACGCTATACTATATTTAGACTAGTCTTGTTATTCTCCGTCCCGAATCATACTTTTTGAGTATCATTCGGTATTTGATGCCGTGCTGATCGACTTACCACCTAGTATCACTCTATTGAGTGGGCCAGACACACTGTGTGTGATTTGATACTCATTCCACTATGACTAGGGTGCTTGCTTGCTCTTGGCGATATATTTTAACCAACAAATCAGTTGTTGAATCATTGCGGAAGTCATAATGTCCTACCAGTATACAATCTACTGCGTTGCTTTGAGTCGTCCACTCGCCTGTGAGGTTGTGCTAGTACTAGGTACATAGATAACCTTTGCTACAAGTCACTGTCTGACCATTGAGCTTTCTGAGAAGGCTTTGGGGCAAGACTTTTGGGGGCTGAGACTTTACCAACTCCGTAATGTCCAGATGACATGAACCATGACTTAAGAGAACACATTTGAGTCTAAGAATCAGATACAGTCTAGGATATCTGGTTGGCGTACTCCGTGCATTATTTTGAGACGGGTATATACAATTGTGTTCTTGCGTTGGTTTCTTCGAATGTCATTAGTAGGTGTTCTACGAAAGTGATATGATATCAGAACTATATGTTGCTATAGTATACGTATATACAATCATGATAAACAAATATATAATTTCTCCGCAGCATACAGGATCATTCTGACAGTCTAAACCTACACATAACAATAAACCCTGATGTTTCCATCCCGGTCCGAGTTCTCATTACTCGATCGATAGTTATAATATGAGTCAATTGCGGTGCCCATCCCAAATCCCAACAAAACAACCCATCCGGAGGCCCCAAAAGGTTCTCCGCAGTGCGGAGGTAAACGTACGGAAGGCTCCGCCCGTGTGAAGACGGACATTAAATTCCATTACGGCCGATAGAAAGGGGAGGAAAGGGAGGAAGGGTTAATAATCTTAGGACCCAAAGAAAAATTTTATTGATCAATTGCCCTATTTAAGTACATCCCTACATCGTTTTTTGTTCTTTCTTTCTTTCATGTATAGGAGGATATAGGAAACAATCTACCAATAACAGGACCTCTTTGATCCCGATCGATCTTCTTGGTTGTCTCCGGCGATCCCCGAGTTTCTCCCCCTCACCCCAATTACTCATTACTATCACGTTCACTTTTTTCTTTTCTGCTACCCCGCGGGACTCTCGGCGTTGAGAGCCGAACTTTCGGAAAAGCTGGCGAGCAAACGGACGACGCAGCGGCTTAGTCTGATTTCCAGGCACCTGGATCAGCATTTACCGTTGCCCTTCTCGACCGAGAGAGACTCCCACGATATCGAATATAAACCCCTCGATCGCACCGATCTCTCAACCACTCTTCCTTCTGCATCTCCTTCGCAACCAGAACCCTCTCCCAAAATGTCGTCCCAAGCCCCTCACCCCACCTTGTTGATTCCCGGGCCCATCGAATTCGATGATGCTGTCCTTCAGTCTATGGCCCACTATGCGTGAGTTCACCCGTCGTTGTCAAAGTAGCCATTGACCCCTCCATACTGATGCTTTTCTCGTAGTGAGAGCCACGTTGCCCCTGGCTTTGTCAAGACCTTCGGAGAGACATTGACCTTGGTCCGCAAGCTCTTCCAGTCTACCAAACCCGCCGCCCAGCCCTTCATCATCTCCGGTAGCGGCACCCTCGGCTGGGACGTCGTTGCCTCCAGCTTGGTCGAGAAGGGAGAGAATGCTCTCGTCCTGCACACTGGCTACTTCGCCGACTCCTTCGCCGCATGTTTGACAACATACGGCGCGAACGCAACACAGCTCAAGGCACCCATCGGAGAGCGCCCATCGTTCGAGGACATCGAGCAGGCCCTGAAGGAGAAGACCTACAAGATCATCACCATCACCCACGTCGACACCTCGACCGGTGTGCTCAGCGACATCAAGCGCATCGCCGAGATCGTTCGTCGCGTCAGCCCCAAGACCCTGGTGGTTGTTGACGGTGTCTGCAGTGTCGGGTGCGAGGAGATCGCCTTCGATGAATGGGATCTTGACGTTGTCCTAACTGCCAGTCAGAAGGCCATCGGTTGCCCCCCCGGCCTCAGCATCCTGATGACCTCTGGCCGCGCCATCGACGTCTTCAAGAACCGCAAGACTCCCCCCGCTTCATACTACTCCTCCATCGGCAACTGGCTCCCCATCATGCAGAACTACGAGAACCTCAAGCCCTCCTACTTCGCTACCCCACCCACCCAGCTGGTCCACGCCCTGCACACCACCCTGTCCCAGATCACCTCCCGGCCCATGGCTGAGCGCTTTGCTGTACACACCCAGGCCTCGGACCGTGTCAAGGCTGCTGTCGCCGAGCTCGGCTTGAAGCAGTTGGCCGCGAAGCCAGAGAACCAGGCCCACGCCATGACCGCCATCTGGCTGCCCGAGGGTCTGGCCCCACCAGACGTGCTCCCCGGACTGCTGAAGCGGGGCGTCATCTTTGCAGCGGGTCTGCATAAGGAGGCTGCGACCAAGTACATCCGGTTCGGACACATGGGCGTCAGTGTCTCCGATCCTGCCCGCAAGGACATTGACAACGCTATTGCTGCTCTGAAGGAAGCTATGGCGGAAGCTAAGCAGGCTAAGGGACTGTAATTGATGATACCTCCCATATTTTACGAATTTCAGCAGAGATGACAAATGACAAAAAAAAATTAAATTATAATATACCACATTAAGAGTACATTCTCCCGGAGTTATCCGATCTATATCTTGGTAGCGGTTTTTGATCTAGTGAAGACATGTATCTGAAATATTGTAGATCAATATCCTAATTAACGGCATGTCCCGAACACAAATTAACACAGTAACCCTAACCCCTCTTCAACGAATGTGTCCGAATATACGGTAAGCTTCACTCAGTGCTGTTGCAACCCGAGGTGTTTGTTCCACAGGTCAGCCAATAGGATGATGCTCCGAGTTAACAGTACTACTACTAGTAGTGTTCCCGATCGGTTACAAATAAGAACCCTCAGCTATATTACGTTAGGTACATCAGGTAGTACAGTACTGAATTGTTAGGGTAACTGGGATATCCATAGATGCCATGTTGAGTGTTGCCTATATATAACGACTAGTGGCTCATGGTTTCCTACCACCAACAGAGGAAGCACATGAGATATGATAATGATATGTATAATGATGGTCCTGACTCGTAACATCCGTCCAACTTGAGAGGTAGGTAAAAAAAGGAACAAAAACAATACAACAAGGAAGGGAAGAAGAGGGGGGATATTACAAGAACATAAGTAACTGTGACAATAAATAGTAAAAGGAGGAGGGTATGAAGTAGTAATGCTACTGGCACTTATCATGCTTGTGGCCAGTTTCCTTTACAGTCACATCAGAAGGGCTATGAATGCATTATAAAACTTCCATCCGCATGTATACGTGCGCTGCTTCATAAGACTTTGTCTTTTTTAGGTTTTTGTTTTGTATCCATGAATTCTATTTTGGAGCCCGTGTCCATCCCCTCCTAGGCTATGCTTCTGTTTCCCCTCTACGTAACGCCAAAAAGGCTCGTACGTCGGTCACATATTGCAAAGCTTCTAGCATAGGAACGAGATGGAGGAGGCCGTTATCCGTTGGGTCGTTGATCCACCCCTCAATGGGAATAGCATTATCTGGACAGAATCAGTTATCATGCTTGTCGTGACGGCTCTCAAGCGCCGGTTGACGAACCTTCGTGAAAAATATAACTCATAGGACTGTTATCCAAGATCATCACTTTGCTCAAATCAGGCTCCACCGAGCTAAGGTCCTTGATATAGGCACCATTGCGGAAAGTACAATGCTGGCGATAATACCGCGCATGGAAATACTTTCGCTCTTGCTCCAGCCAGTCGATCACGGGGTCGGCATATTCTTGAACACTGGCAGTGAAGATAACCAGCTTATACCATTTGCAGATCTTGCGGAGAAATTCATCACAGTGGGGCCGCTTGTGCACATAATACAGGATGGGGTGTTGCGGTCCTAACGTCGTCGGCGGTGCCCCCGGGCTGAGAGTAGTCGTCATCGGCGCGGCCAATTTAACCTCAACCATGTGGCCGCTGGACATGCGTCCTCCTTTGGCCAGTGAGTGGATGAGGGTTTCATCCAAATCAAGGATCAAGGTCTTTTGGGGAGCCCTATATGTGCGCGACGTGGCTGTGTAGGATGGTAGACGGGGAGGAATCAGCGGCCGAGGAGGAACGGGCGAATGAGGGTACCTGGTAACCTTGTGGATAGATGAAGACGTTGGCGATTTCAGGCTATCTGGGTTTACGGGTCCGGTTTCTGACGACCGATCGAGATCTACACTCTGTGATCGGCGCTGTCTTTGTCGTTTCAGAGCTTCTTCGTTATGGAGCTTGATCCGTATGGAACGACGAGGAGTGCTTTCATCCGACATCTGGTCCGACTTTGGAGATTTCGCTTTCGAGGATCGATTTCTATTACCCGAAGAGCCCTTCAGGGCCTTCCGATCACCTTCGGACTCAGAAGTGCTCGAGGCAATAGAATCTCGCGACCTGTGGCTTTTCAACTTTCGCGTGGAGCCCTGCCGTCGTCTACTTTCCGTCCGTTTGACACCGTTCGCCGATGTGTTTGCGCTACTGGCAGCGGAACCGAACAGAAATCGCCCCAACTTTCTTGCAGGAGCTATGGGGGAATATCGCCCATCATCCTCGCGAAAGCATTGGATTGCAAATATACCGGGTGCGGCCAAAGTGGACAAGATGAACTTGATTGCTTCGGCAACTGCGTCGAAAAACCGCTGTGCAACAAAACCTAGTGTACTGTTTGTAGCGAATGAACCATCTTTTTGAAGCCCTCGTATCAGTGGTGATTTCTCATCCAACGTAAGGCCAAGCTGGTCCTCTTCCTGTGTTAACCCAGACCCATCGTCGCTAGTTTTCTCAGAAACGTCTGCCGAATGGAAGTCGTGGCTGCTGTAAGACCGGAGTTTAGAGAGATCCGCCGGTGCAGTTACTGGGGGGATATCTCCTTGCGAACGTGATCTCTGACGGTTACGATTTGAATGGGAGGATTGGCCAATGACTCGGGACGAAAGTATGTTCAACGAGTTCATCTTCCAACGGGTGTCCGGGCTGGCGCAGCTATCTAAGGGAGAACGTGCTAGTTAGCACTCGTCCAGTGTAGGAACAATAATGTCGGACATGGATCGATGTAAGGCAGCATTGGGATTGCAATGAGATATAAAAGATGCTCGTACGAACCTCAATGCGCCAGTTGACAACCCGTGTCTCAGAACCACGCTTATACCAGCTCTGTTCGATGAAGTGATAGCCGACGGGTAGACCAAAGGTCCCAGTCGTATCGGTCGGGGAGATTCTGCAGGAGAAAGAAGATACGGGACGGAAAGAAAGACCGATACAAAGGCACAGCCTCTCAGCCAGGAACACGAAATGGTCTAGTAGCCGGAGACAACAGAGAGGTGTGTGGGGAGAGACGCTCATACATACTACTCCAGGTTCAGAAGTGGTCTGCTGTCAGGCCGTCCCGGAATTAGTCCCAGATGCCAGCAGCACGTTGGGCCGAGCGGCAGCTCTAAGCGGCGGGCAAAAACTCCCTCCGTCACATCCCACCAAACGCCAAAGAACCTCCTCCTCCTTCCTCCTCACTTTTAGCGCTGCCCCTCAACCACCGGTATTTTTTCCGCCCCAAAAGTTAAGTGAGTTTTTGGTCCCCTCATTTATCTATATCTTGGTTATTTGGAGTTGCGTACATGTCCTACGATCTGTTCTTGGGGGATATATAGAAACTGTGCGAAATTACCGTGGGCAGCATGACTCAATCTGCTAACCATTGTACATAGATTCCAAGGATCACCCTGTCTTCAGTGCGCAGCGCTTTTCACGCCAAAAAAAGAAAAGTACCAGCATATCCCACAAACTATGCCATCCACATCTATGGCTTTGACGCCAGGCTTGGCGTCCTTTCTCAGGTCGTTGAAGACCAATCC